CTATATAGTACCTGAATAGATAATCTCTATCCTTATGTCTGCAGCCAAAAAACAACCACATTGCTCCAAAATTTCCATCTGGGTGATGTTCTTGGAGTTTCTCTCTAAGTGAAAAAGAAAGTTTAGATGTATGACATAAAGAATAAGAATATGTAAATCCAATCTCTTTCACCAGAAAATAACACCAACAAACTCAGATAAGCTCGTAAAATCCATCTTTGCAGGCACTGAAAGGTCACTCACTTAATTAACATTTTATTATCCACAGGCTGTCATAGGCACTCTGGCAGACACCACCTAAGCAAACAAGTCTGGAAGTTATAGCCATCCAGAGCTATATATGACATAGACTTAACAAAAATGATTTAAAATATCATATTGTGAAGCCTAGACAAATTTCTACATGAAAATAATATTAATAACAACTTTATGAATAAATCAACTCTTTATAATGGAGAAGTGGTATAGGGCTATAAAAGGCAGAATGTGTAAGAAGGGTTTATGAAATGATGAACACACCAATGAGACACAGAGCATGTCATTACACTTTTGCTTAATAAAAAAACTAGAACAAAACAAAACAAAATGACTGTCCAAAGGATGTGACTGGAGAACAGTACCTAAGACGTGTTCACTAAGTCACAAACATGGAGAGAAGTATAGTTCTGTTCTGACACTAAGTTATACCTATTAATATCATTCTGTTGAAAATTTCTAATGTTTGGGGTTTAACTTTGAAACTTTTGGTATAATTAGATCTCTGTTACTACCAATTTTATCCAATTATGGAAGAGACGGAACTGCTATACATCATCATAGCATGAAAGTGTGCCTGAAATTTGTCCCCAACCACATATACTTTAAACCACAGCATAGCTGGGAAAAGAGAAAAAAGAAAACTAAAGTGCCACAGTAAAAAAGGAAGTTCTAACACAAAGCAAAATCTCTACAACGTACTGTTTACTTTTCCTATGGTGACAAATTATGTTATGCTATCACACATTTAATAATAATTTTTTAAAATAAGAATTGTACAACCAAAGTCCAATTATCCTAAAAACTACTGAATAAACAAAAAGGTTAACATTAAGGGGTGCACTTTCCCATTAGCCAAAAAAAGCACGTACCTATGCTGTAGGAAACCAATGAAGGGTGCTATGCCAGTTCCTGGACCCACCATGATGATGGGAGCTGAGGGGTCATTTGGTAAGTGGAAGGAATTTGTTGTCCGAGGAGAGATGGATATCTGGAATGTTAAACCAATCGTGGTAAGTATGAAAGAAAACCTAGGCAAGAGCATATAAATAAGATGATCTTTGCTAAAGAATTCAGAAAGTGCAAATTCCCATCAAAGAAGCATCATTAAATTGAACAGTAGCATTAAATCTTATTGAAGCCATGAATACATTTGTCACTACAGAGAAATAAGTTTGTCTTATAATTTTTTTCTTTTTTACCCAAATCAAAAATGTTTTTAAAATGACAGGCATGGTATTAATATTTTTGAGGTAGAATACCAAATAAATGATAATCAAATCATTTCTCTAGGCTCATGGATAAGATCTGCTTTCTAGTAGGCAACCAGTAATATATATTATAGGGAAATATACCCCAAAATGAAGACATGATTCTTCATGTTTGCACATAAAGGGCCAATAAAGATTAATATCAAGATGGGGTTGAGAAGAGTTTTAAATGAAAACTGGGTACCATAAAAAGATATTAAAGAAAGCAAACTTGTCCTAAGGTAATGCTACAAATGACACATTGATTTCTTCATTACCACGATGACAGAGACTTTATGATAAAGCCTGCAATGCTGTTGCTTTATTTTAAGCATCTAACAGGCAAAGAGGGACAACTTTAACTTGTTCCCTACACATGTGTTCTTGAATGAGATTTTGTTGAGTGCTGTATCAAAACATAAAGGATGTCACCAAGTCTACATGTAAATGTGTCCATAATTTGTCAAAAAAATAAAATCACATAACCTTTTACTCCTAGGTGTTTTAAAAGTTACTTCACTTCCCACCATAATTTCTTCTCACTAACAGCATGAATTCAGATCCCAGGCACCACAGCCATGACAAAAGGGGAGAAATGGGGACGGAGGAATCCTACTACTCAAAATTGGAGAATACAACATTAATCTTTGGTTGTCATCAGAATGCCAACGTAAAACTGCCTACTTGGGATGCAGGATACGGTCTAAACATAAAACGAAGCTGTTTCTCATCACCACCCTTCGATACTTGCCGGACTCTTCACCTCTCCCTGGGCCAATCTACCAAGAGTCACCAACAGTAAAGGTCTCTTCTATGAACAGAACAAGCAAGGAGAAAAGACTGTATTGTACAAAATTCGTGTTTTGCACATTCAGAAAATATATGGATTAGTTAAGAGTAAGTGAAAGTAAATACAGTTTTTTGCCCTTTCAATGGAGATTTTAAAATTCAAGTATAGCATAAATTTTCTTTTGAATAACTTGATAGTAATGGACAATGTGGGGGAGACTACACTGTTCTTCCAAATCAAGCAAAGAGAGCAATTTAACAATGCTGAAATTGCATGCTACTTCAGTACCTTGGGAG